AATAACTGCCAAATCTTCTAGCGAGCGTGTCCCATCGCATAATTTCGCTATCCTGAAAAAAAAAACATACATTGGTATAATATGTACGTACCAGTCATTTCGGGAGCCTCCTCCAGCAAATAAGGGCAGATAATTACCTCATGAATGACAAGTAGATATTTTTTGGGCTCTGGCTATGATAGCGTATGAGTGTGCCAACCTTTGGTGCTGGCCCTCAAACAATTTAAATTTTGTTAAATCTACTACGGAGCGGATTGAAACCTGGAGCTTTTCGTAACCTTACTAAACCAAAAGTGGATAAGATGATCGGTGGCAGCAAAATTTTTTATTAACCAGCCATTTTCACAACTAATAGCAGATTGATACAAACGTGTCCCGTAAGCTTTTAGCTTACTTCTCAAAGAATATTAGAATAGCAGGCATAGGAATCACAAGTGATGTATTGAAAAGCCACGTGGAGGAGTAGTCTGTGTTTCATCCCTTAGTGAAATTTCAGATCAGGGGATACTCGCTGATCCTATCTGTATCAGATTCTCACTACAATGTATACCAAAACTTCTCCCAGTCCCAACAGAAACAAATGTTCGATTTCCTGCTATTTTAAAGGACGAAATGTGGTGGCAGCTTCAAAAAGTACAACATCCTTCGTTCAAAAGAGCTAAAAATTCAAACAAAACATCCTGAGAAGAGCCACATACTATTTTGTTCATGAAAAAAAAAAAAAAACGAAACACTACCGTCGTGTGTCGCCTTTTCTCAGTGATACTGGATAAATGCACAACTTGCGAACAAAACCATGGCAAATACCAAACTGCACCAGACGCCTTTCGTCAACATTATACTGCCGCGGTACCATTCTTTCGCACCACTCCTTCATTGTCATGCCTGTCTGAAAAAGAACGGTGAGTGGTGTTATGGTTTCTGTTAAACTTGCAATTCACCGATTTGTAATTCAAGTAGTAATACATGAATTAAGTGTGACCTCCTGTTCTTCAACAAGTTATAATTAACGTCCACTTCCGAACGCGAACTGTCGTTTTGTTGGGCACAAAAACAAGTCGACGAAAAAACATTTTTTTTTCACAAATCTTAACTTTGATTTTAAAAAAAAGAGGAAAAAACACTTGTTCCTTGTAAGACACACATTTGTGGCTTTGTGTCTAAAAATGCAATTTGATCGCGGTATCGACCTATGCTAAAGTGTAAAATTCTGCATAAAACCTTATGCAGATAACTTATTTAGGGTTAAAGAGAAAATATGAAAAGGAAACGAGGACAAGGGTATTAAGAAAATATTACAGTGACCTCATGCGTTCTAGAAATGGATGGACAGAGCCAAAACAACACCAAAATTCACTCGATTACCGCCTCTTTATTGTTTTCAGTTTAAATTTAAACTGCGAAGAAGGGTATACAGCCGAGCTGACAATAAGTAAAGAAAAGTCACCCACGTAACCAAACTTCACATACTCAAATCGAAGTAAATGAACTTACTTTTAAACTTGTGTACAATCTGAACACATCAGAAAAAGTCGGTTTTGTACCCAGATTCTCTCCATTTTCGTTCAGTGGTCGCACAAAATCAAGACACTCCTGAAGTACGATCAACTAGCACTCAGTAAAACAAAGACTTGTGAAACTGAATTCATGTTAGAAATGTTAGAAATTGTTAGAATGTTAGAAAATGTTAGAAAAAATGAAGTTAGACGCGAGTTCTGTACTGGAATATCACGTTGTCAATACAGCTTCCCGAAAATTTGTAAAAAAATAAAATCTCTAAGTTACTTTTCTCTCCAGGAATACTCTATTCCATCATTTTTCGGTCGGAGAGAAGGTT